AATATAGCCATAATTTTGATCAAAATGTATTCTACATACAAAATATAATTAATATTGAAACAAATAAGTTATGAGCATTCAAATTCATTCAAAAATAATTAATAAATATTTTTTTGTATGCATTATGTGATCTGTTTTTGAATGCATTTAATAATTAATAATTTGTTAAGAAATTGTTTTAAACATTTTCTTATTTATTTACAATTTTCATAGTTTTATAACTACAAATAGTTTTGTATACTAATATTATAAATATCATAAGTTATTGAGTCAATTTTGTATATTATATTTAATAAAAAATGCAAAAATTTCAATATTGTTGAAATATATAGGATATAGTGAATTTGTTTATAAAGAAAGACGTTATGAGTTTCAAATCGTTTAGGTTTTATTGAATAAATAGTTATTTACATTGTATTGGGTTGTCGTTTAGTGGTAGTAGCTGGCTACTGGAGAGGAGAAAGATACTTTAGCAACTGGGGCGGCGTAGGCCAAAGGAGCGGCGATCTTGGCGACTGGGGCGGCGTAAGCCAAAGGAGATGAGTAAGCTACTTTAGCTACTGGGGCGGCGGCGTAATGTACTGGGGCAGCGGCGTAAGCTACTTTAGCGATTGGAGCGGCGGCGTAATGTACTGGGGCAGCTACTTTGGCGACGACTGGGGCGGCTACTTTAGCTACCAAAGGTTCACGGTGGACTACAGCGTTGAATCCGTGGATTGGGTCAGCGGTGTATTCTACAGTCCTCTTGAAGCCGTCAGCATCAACGAGGGAGTAGCTACCTTGGACGGCATCTCCGTTGCGGGTTTCTTGCTGTTGCTTGTTGTCTCCGGTCAAAGAATCTTGGACATCGTATCCGTAAGAGTATTGTGGGTTTGGGTCGTATTCCTCAGCTACTTTAGCTACCACTGGGGCGGAGTAAGCCAATTTAGCAACTGGGGCGGCGGAGTAAGCCAATGGGGCGGCGGCGTATTGGGTGCCGATCACACCAGCGTTGGCGGCAGCCAAAAGAGTGGCGAAAGCTACGAACTAAAATCAAAAACAAAAATATTAAAACAAAAACAATTGACAAATTGACTTGATTATACCTTGAAAGCCATTGTTGATAGAATCGAGTGTGTTTGAATTCTGATTACCACAGCAACAGCAGCAACGTTTTATATTATTTGCTCCCTCTCCCGAAATTCTCAAGAAAGAAATTGGTCTCACCCAATCAAGGCCGACCTCTCTTCGACATTCCAAAATAACCATTGATACAGTATTAAATTACATTTATTTTTTAAAACCCAAATTTTGCCAAATCAACGTTTCCAATTTTTATACAATTAAATCGAACGCAACAGCGAAACACTCATTTCTAATCCATTAAAAACATTTTTGGGGAAAGAAATGAAAGTCCATCTGAATGAGTCACCGAATCGTAAATTCAAATCGTATTTCGCGATTGCAGCGAATCAATGCATAATTCAGTCCTTATTTTCGGCCCCCCTATAAATTACCTATGCAATTATCAATGCTCGCCATACACACACACAAATTCACAAAGTTAATCCCATGATAATACAGCTAAATAATCACTAAATTGATTTAAATATCAATTGAATGCTTGCGGATTTATTATTAATTACGTTTTCGCTCCACATTTACCAGTTTTTTTTTTTTTACTTGTTTTCCGACCACAAAAGTCAAGGCAATTATTAACGTAAAGTTTGGACCGCATTGTCTCTCTTTTTTTTTTGATTTCGATCTATATATTGAATTATGTCGGCGAACTTTCGCCATTAATTAATTTTGGAAATTATAAAATTAAAAAACAACTTTTGATGAATAGTGTCCGCTCTGAATTTATGCAATCGCATTTGCATAATTAATAACGTTTTAGTGAATTTCGCATTATAAATTTTGCTGGTGACATACAAAAAAAAGTGTTATAATTATGAATCGCGATGAAAGCAGTTTTCCATAAATCAAATCAATCATTTCTTTAGTTATTGTTGAATTATTTTAAAATAAATATAAATTTTATTACTGACTAAACATTATAAAATATACGGTTTTTTGTTTTACTATTTTCGCTTTAAAAGAACTTTTGCATGTTAAAATTTTACATATTAATTGAGGGTTGAAGTTGTGAAAAACATTTTTATAGTTTCTTCTTAACAAAAATTATTTTTATGAGTCTCGTAAACGTTCATTTTAGGACGTTTTACATTAGCGACTTTTTCAGGATTATGTATTGGCAACATTGTAACACATTTTATGATTTTGTTTTGTATTTTTTTTTGTGCGGTTTTGTAGTAGAATTATGTAATTGATATAAAATTTTTAAAGCAGTTTTAGGTTATGGTATAAGGGGTGGATGGATAAGGCTGAATGTATGTAGTGGCTGTAAAAAAATTAAGGGTAAAACAAGCAGTGTTTTCATATCTTATTGATTTTTTCAGTAATAAGTTTCATTTTTTTTTATTTATATGTGAAATGGGTTACATATTTGAGTTTTACGTAAGTAGTCATACTTAAGCTCTTTCAGCATGCAATTTTCGGCAACTAGATCTAAAAGATGCATATGAAAGTTGGATGTTTGGGAAATGATAAATGAATTGTATTGAATCTGGTTTATTATCGAATAAATAACTATTTACATTGAGCGTTTGTCGTTTAGTGGTAGTAGCTGGCTACTGGGGAGGAGAAAGATACTTTGGCAATTGGGGCGGCGTAAGCCAATGGGGTAGCTACCTTAGCAACCACTGGGGCGGAGTAAGCCAATGGAGCGGCTGCGTAAGCTACTGGGGCGGAGTAGGCTACTTTAGCTACTGGAGCAGCGTAGGCGACTGGGGCAGCTACCTTAGCTACGACTGGGGCGGCGGCGTAAGCAACTTTAGCGACAACTGGGGCGGCTACTTTAGCTACCAATGGTTCACGGTGGACGACGGCGTTGAATCCGTGGATTGGGTCAGCGGTGTATTCAACGGTCCTCTTGAAACCGTCAGCATCAATCAAAGAGTAGCTACCTTGGACAACATCTCCGTCACGTGTCTCCTGTTGCTGCTTGTTGTCTCCGGTCAAAGAATCTTGCACATCGTATCCGTAAGAGTATTGTGGATGAGGATCGTATTCCTCAGCTACCTTAGCTACCACTGGGGCGGCAACCTTAGCAACCAAAGGGGTGGAGTAAGCCAATGGGGCGGCGGCGTATTGAGTACCGATGACTCCGGCGTTGGCGGCGGCCAAAA